GGGTTACATGCTGTGGAAGGATCCCTTGACTGCTCAGTGGCAAGGCCCAGATCCTGTCCTCATATGGTGCGAGGATTGATTTGTGTGTTCAGAGAAAATGAAAATGGCCCATGGTGGATTGCTGAGAGGCTTGTCCAGCAAGCTCCTGCTGCTGAGTCTTGTGAAAGCTCAGGTACTGGCCATGGTGATAACATTTGAGTCAGAAAATTGATGGGACAAGCAAGTATAATAGGCCTTTATATATTATATAAGCATATTAGTATATTGTTAAGCACCCCTCTTTTTTTCTTCCTCCTATGAGCACCAAAGTCCTGATATTTCCCACCTTTTCTAAGAGACAGCTTTGTGGGGAATGGACATACAATGCAGGCCCCCCTTTTTTTCTTATTAAGGGAGGCAATTATTCCTACAGAAATTATTAGTTCAATCACTCCTCTGGATTTGAGGACTGGTTCATGTGGGTGAGCCTTAGCTCCTTGAGTTTTAAGCCCGTGTCTGCCTGTGTTATCTCTCCATTTCTCTCTCTCTTACATACAGAAAACGTCTCTGAAGTGAGTTGCACCGAGGTCAACTGCCCCCTAACAGCATGTTGGAATGGCAACGGCGATACTGCTGTTGTCATGCAGCTGCCCAGAATCCTGCCTGTGCCTGTCGGGGCTAACCGAGAGGCCTCTGTTGGCCTGATAAGGCATAAAGGAGACTTTGGTATAACATCAACCATCGTAACCAGCACTACCCTGGCGTTGGCACACACCACCACAGCAGCAGTAACCCTAGGACACCCTGCAGCTACCGCTGAGACCATGAACAAGTTTGTAGAACTGCCTACCTGAGCTATGGAACAACAGAACTGTATAGATTAACATGTGCAGTTGGGCATATTTGTGTTGTAATAGCAGGTTGATTTGTTGGCAGAGGAGTGGTACATGCTGTGGGATATGGTCAGGTCCTCTTGTTCCCCAACATATGTCTTTAGGTATGTAACACCTGTGCAAGTGCAAAATGTTTCCCAAGCTTGGGAACTACTGTCTGCTCTTTGCTACCAAGCTAAAGATACTCGAGCCATGGAACAGGGTTACCAGCCTCCCCAAGTATAGTTTGTGCAGCTGAAGCAGGCAATGCATTGAATGGCAGCAAGTGACAGGTAAGATGAACCGGGCACTGACCAACCTAACACAGGGGCTCTGTCATGCTATGGAGAGTCCCAATGATGTGTAAAGGTAAAGACCTGAGAGTCCACAACCTAAGAAAAGCACATTCAAATCTGCTTTAAAATAAAAAAAGGGGGATGGGTACTGTTGAGAGCTAAGGAGTTGATTAGTGCTCATTATCCTGGTCAGGAACAGGGACTGGGCTTGTAGCTAAAAACACCTAGACTAATTGAACTCATCTGTATCCAATATCCTGCTAAATGAGGATGTGGTGGGGAAGAGCATATAAGGAGAGGTGAAGGGGCAATAAAGGGAGACTTCGCAGAGACTTCCACCATCACTGGTCTCCTATCAGTGCTTCATCCCCAGACCCTCTCCATGTCCACGTTACTGGCTTTGCTGGCAAAGCACAGAGTTTGTGTTCTTCTCATAACACATGGAACATTCTTCAGGACTGATTACGTGTTAGAACACAAAGCATTTCTCAGCACATTTAAACAACTGACATAATAAAATGTATGCTGTCTGATTACAGGCAATAAACTACAGCGCAGCAGAAGAAACGAAACAGCAGGCTCTTGAATGAATAATAGGTCATTAAAGTAATCCAAAGCAAAATTTAAAAAGTTCTTGAGACAAATCAAAGTAGAAACCTAACAGATCAACACACAGGGATCTAGCAACAGCAGTACTAAGAGAATGTTTATAGCAAAATCTGTATCATCTAAAGAAATATTAGAACTATCAAATAAATATTCTGATAACACATTCCACAAACTTGAAAAGCAAGAATGGATCAACCCTAATATTCTTAGATGATAAGAGATAATGAAGAACAGAAATAATTAAAAATTAGACTTTAAAACAAAAGCAAAAGATCAGTGAATTGATGAACTAATTTTTGTAAAAGAAAGTTGATGGGTTGAAAGTTAAAAGGGTGTTTACGTAGTGTGTAGCATTGTTTGTGCGTGAAGTTGTTACAACAGCAGCCTGAAGATTTAAAATATTTACTAGCTAAACTTTCAAAGAAAAATACTTCCCAACTATTGTTCTACAGTAAAGGAGTTCAAGCAATTTGTACCAATAAATTGATCTTGAGCAACCCCCCAAGCCAGTATTTAATGGGTGACATATAGTAGCAATGTGAGTGTCATGTACATAAATGTTACATTTCTTCAAATCTTGCTTTTCCACTATTTTCAAATTTGTGAATTCAAGGTATGGGCAGTTAGCTATCTGGCACCACAACTTTAATAGAGAACTGTATATTAAACAAAAACCATGCAGTATTGGCTATACAGTATCTTTATTTTACTAGTGTTGTGTCTGATACTAACTTTATGTATTATCAATAATTTATTTGAAAAGCTTTCATCACAAAATTTTGGGTATTTGCACATAAGAGTCACTTGGGGAACATTTTATAAAATACCAATGTGTTTGGGCTGATGCGGTGACTCAACAAGCTAATCCTTAAATGGCTGGTGCCCTTGTCCTGTATGAATGCTAGTTAGAGCCCCGGCAGCTCCACTTCTAACTCAGCTCTCTGCCTATAGCCTGGAAAGCAGCAGTTGGGGCCAAATGAAGAATGAATCAGCAGATGGATGATCTCTCTGTCTCTTCTTCTCTCTGTAAATCTGCCTTTCAAATATATATATTTTGAACTGCCAATGAATCTGGATCCTATCCTGAGTTTCTGACTAAAAATGTGAGGAGTAAAAACCTCAATATCCATACTTTGTCAACCTGATTCCCAAGTGCAGCCCAGATTGGGAATCACTGGAGTAGTGTGATTCTGTGTACATTGATTGCTTTAAATGATCTCTAATATACTGTTACAGCAGTAGGTGGTCTCTGTCATGCTAGTTAAGTCAAAATAGAGTGAACGTCCTTCCTTCCTCCTTCCTTCCTTCCTTCTTCCTTCCTTCCTTCCTTCCTCCTTCCTTCCTTCCTCCTTCCTTCCTTCCTTCCTTCCTTCCTTCCTTCCTTCCTTCCTTCTTCCTTCCTTCCTCCTTCCTTTCTTCCTTCCTCCTTCCTTCCTTCCTCCTTCCTTCCTTCCTTCCTGCTTCCTTCCTTCCTTCCTGCTTCCTTCCTTCCTTCCTCCTTCCTTCCTTCCTTCCTCCTTCCTTCCTTCCTTCCTCCTTCCTTCCTTCCTTCCTTCCTTCCTTCTTCCTTCCTTCTTCCTTCCTTCCCTCCTCCTTCCCTTCCTTCCTTCCCTTCCTTCCTTCCTCCTTCCTTCCTTCCTTCCTTCCTTCCTTCCTTCCTTCCTTCCTTCCTTCCTTCCTCCTTCCTTCCTTCCTTCCTCCTTCCGTCCTTCCTTCCTTCCTCCTTCCTTCCTTCCTCCTTCCTTTCTTCCTTCCTTCCTCTTTCCTTCTTCCTTCCTTCCCTCCTCCTTCCCTTCCTTCCCTTCCTTCCTTCCTTTCTTCCTGCTTCCTTCCTTCCTTCTTCCTTCCTTCCTTCCTTCCTGCTTCCTTCCTTCCTTCCTCCTTCCTTCCTCCTTCCTTCCTTCCTCCTTCCTTCCTTCCTTCCTCCTTCCTTCCTCCTTCCTTCCTTCCTTCTTTCCTTCCTCCTTCCTTGCTTCCTTCCTTCCTGTTTCCTTCTTCCTTCCTTCCCTCCTCCTTCCCTTCCTTCCCTTCCTTCCTTCCTTCCTGCTTCCTTCCTTCCTTCCTTTCCTCCTTCCTTCCTTTCCTTCCTCCTTCCTTCCTTCCTCCTTCCTTCCTTCCTTCCTCCTTCCTTCCTTCCTTCCTTCCTTCCTTCCTTCCTCCTTCCTTCCTTCCTCCTTCCTTCTTCCTTCCTTCCTTCCTTCCTTCCTTCCTTCCTTCCTTCCTTCCTTCCCTCCTTCCTTCTTCTTTCCTTCTTTCCTTCCCTCCCTCCTTCCTTCCTTCCTTCCTTCCTTCCTTCCTTCCTTCCTTCCTTCCTCCTTATTTCCTTCCAGGCACAAGAGAACAGGTGCACTTTCTGATACCACTGCCCTGTTCTTCCAGTTGCAAAACTAATTTTGCGGGCCCGACACGATAGTGTAGTGATTAAGGTCCTTGCCGGGATCCCGTATGGGCACCGGTTCTAATCCCTGCAGCTCCATTTCCCATCCAGCTCCCTGTTTGTGGCCTGGGAAAGCTGCCAAGGATGATCCAAAAAGCCTTGAGACCCTGCACCCGCATGGGAGACCTGGAGGAAGCTCCTGGCTCCTAGCTTCAGATTGGCACAGCACCAGCCATTGTGTTCACTTGGGGAATGAATCATCGGATGGAGGATCCTCTCTGCCTCTCCTCCTCTCTGTGCATCTGACTTTCCAATAAAAATAAATAAATCTTTTTTTAAAAAGTAGTTTTGGCATAGTGCAAAATGAATCATGGACAATGTGTTAACAAATCAGCCTTTTCTGGCTTCAGAAAAGCAGTGGAAAACAGTTCCCATACCCGGGCCCCTGAGTTTTGGTGGTGGCCCACAGCTCCAGCCCATGTCACTGGCAAGGTATAGAGCTGCAACACGGAGAGCCTTGTGCCACTCCTGGGTAGACACTGTAGCATGCTTTTCCCAGCACACTCACCTCCAAAGACCAGAGAGGCCTCAAGCTGTGGTTGGACTTGGCAGTGTCCGTGTGGCAGTCTGCAGCCTGACAGGCACATAGTGGTGCCTAGGGATTGGCATACAGGGAGAGCTCTGAAGGTCCTTTGTGCTGGGATGGGAACTGTCTGACTTTAGCACTTTCTGTCTGGGTTTTTTTTTTTCAGCACGTGGTTAATTTCTAGATCCTAGCCATTGCTATAAAAGAGTTTCTGTGGCTTTTCCTCTTACTCTCGAGTTGGCTCTTAGAGGCAGCTGCTGTCAGAAGCATTTCCTGGTTGATAGCAAACGAAAGTGAGACTCCACCTCCCTTCCCTAAGCGTTTCGCCTGCCTCTCAGTAAGCAGCTGCCTGGCTGACATGGGGCACTGCAACGACCCAGTCAGGAGCATGTCCTCCATGCCAGCCCTGGGGGGCCCCAGTGCCGGGCAGACCTGTGTGCTCATCCTGATCTTCACGGTGCTGCTGCAGTCCCTCTGTGTGGCCGTGACGTACCTGTACTTCTCCAATGAACTGAAGCAGGTTAGTACAGTGCACCCCATCCTACAGCCTGGTAGCAACTGCAGGCTAACTCCCTCTCCTTGCTCTCTCATGTTGGTTGCTCCTTGAAAACTTTGCTATGTGAGAAAATGCTCCCTTCCTCAGTCAGTAGAGTGCAATGGCAAATGTCTGTGGTTCCTGAGAGCTTTATCAGAGTCTAGGTTCAGAGGACTGCAGGAAGCAGTTGCACTGTCAGGACGATTATCACAGTAGCAGCAGACAGGACTCAGGGGCTCAGAGGGTGCAGGGCAGGAGGGTAGAGTCCTTCATTCAGCCTCCTTGGAGCTCCAAATTGGGTAGTGGGGAGCACTGTGGGTTCGCAATTCTGCTTGTAGGTGTCTAAAAAAAACATATATTTGACAACGCTGGCTACTGCTACCACTCAAGAATGATTTGTAGTTCTTGGCTCGTGGATTCTAGAGTGAGGATGCCTTGCGTCAGGGCAAGGGCTGTGACTGGTTTTGCTGCCAATTACAATCCTGGGATCCAGTGGGAGTGCTCATGGAACCTTTGTTAAATGAAGAACAGCCTTCACAAACATAATAGGAGTCACTGATATGCAAGCAGAAGGAGTAGAGTTCGCATGTGGGCTAAGGAAGTCTTCTTGTGTTCCAAGTGAGCTAATGCAAGTGGCCTCTCAGACAGGTGTGGCAGAAAAGTCAGACCTGTTGGCTACTTGCACAGGCAGAACTGCTCTGCATGCACTATTTACTTTTCTTTGGACTTCAGAGCTGTTGACCAGGATCGAGCCTTTCCTCTCACCCCTTTCTTTTATATGTTTGTGCCCTCACGGAGAGGAGTTTTTAGGTAAAATAGTATGTGGGTAAACTAAATTCAGAAGCAAGCTGGAAAGCCAGGCTTCTGCCCCCTACAAGCCTGAGCATGCAAAGGCATAGATGAGATTTCTGAGATATTTATTGGCGCTACCTCAGGGCCACTTCTGTGTTGACAGTAAGAACACAGAGACCTGCTGTTCTACCTCGTACTTGCACAAACCTGTTTCTTGGGTTAAGCCTGTAACAAAGAAATGAACTGATTCAGCATTTGACCGTTTCTGGGAAAATAACTGGAAATCGAACTGCCACACCATGTCTGTGAACATTCTAGGCACAAACACGAACAGATCAAACTTTATTGACTATAAAACTAGAAGTGGGAATGCAAAAGTTGTGAAAATAAGCCAACTCAGGTTTTTTTTTTTTATTGTATGTTTTGACCAATAATGTGTAGTAGAGACTTAATGAGCTGGGAGGATCTTTGGACAGCCATACAAAATCACAATCCCCTTTTTATGAACAAGGACACGCTGCCCTCCCAGACAGCTGTATTGTCTGGACTCAGTCAAGACTTTGGAGACAGAGTGTGGGCTATATTCAGGCACCCACAGCATGTTTTTCCTCTCCGGCAGTGTCCAAATGGTCAGCATAACTCACTAGCTGATTCTTCATTGAGCTGACTCAGGCAATTGCCTATTTTTTAAAAAATAAGATTTAAAGGGTTTTTTTTTTAAATACAAATGGAATTTTAAATTTCCCTAGCTCACACATATTTTTCTTGATTACGTATAAACATAAAAAAGCATCATAGAAATGAACATTATCTTTTAATTAATTAATTAATTAATTTTATCTTTTAATTTTTAAATTTGTCCTTGAAATGGAGAGAGGAAGAGAGAGACAGAGAGAAAGGAGAACTAAGCTACAGCCACTGGTTCACTTTTCAAATACCCTCAACAGCCAGGGGTGGGCCAGGTTGAAGCCAGAAGCTGGAAGGTCCATCTGAGCCTTCCACATGGTGGCAGGACTCCATGCACGTAGGACCTCATCTGCTGCCTTCCAAGATGCCCACTGGTAAGGAGCTGGAATCAAGCGTGAGGCCAGTCTCAAACCAAGTCACTCTGACGTGGAGTGTGGGTATCCCACGTGGAGCATTATTGTGGAGCATACTTGCCGCTGTATTATCTTTAACTTCCACTCTGTAATGCCCCTTTGTACACATGCATAGGAATTCAACGAGAATACTAGCAAGGGAGATCAATGAATAGATATTGACAGTTATTATCTGCCAGAAACTTCTGCATTTCCCTGCTTCAGACTCATGACAGCCCTAGACAATTACCATATCTGTGAAGGCGCCAGGAGTGATCTCAATGGACACTCAATTCTTGGAATCAAGGGCTTCCTGGGGTTGCAGGCCTAGCGGAAAAGAAATCTCCACAACTCGAGATATATATGCAAATAGCACACACACACTGCCCTGTCCCTCACCCAGTTGTGGTTAGCCTGCAGGAAATTCATGACTAATGCGAGGAAACTGTGATGGGCATCAAGGAAGAGAGTTTCATATCACATAAGGAATCATTCACATTCCTCGAAGAACCACAACCCCAATGCAGCCAGTCATCACAACTGACCAAGACCTGCGGAAGCAGCTGCCATGTTAGGGCCAGCCCTGGGTCTCTGGATTTCTATTGTTGATAAATCAATACTTATGCATAAAAATGTCTGAAAAGACAAAAGCAAGGCATTTGATCACTGTGATCCCTAGATGATAGAATTAGAACTGTCTTTTTTTCCTTCCATTTTCCTATATATTAGTGTTTATTGTGAATATCACAAAACATGCCATCGCCATGACTTTCATGCACACAATTTTATAGTTCTTTAAAATATATATATTTATTTGAAAGGCATAGCTACAGATGATGTTTCATTCTCCAAATGATTGCAAGAGCTGGGCTGGGAGCCTGACATGGTAGCCTAGTGGCTAAAGTCCTTGCATTGCATTCAACAAGATCCCATATGGGCTCCAGTTCATGCCCCAGTGCTCCATGCCCCTTGCAGCTCCATGCCTATGGCCAGGGAAAACAATGGAGGTCAACCCAAAGCCTTGGGACCCTGAACCTGACCCAGAAGAATCTCCTGGCTTTACATCAGCTCATCTCTGGCTGTTGCAGCCACTTGAGAAGTGAGCCAGTGGACAGAAGATCTTTCTCTCTCTCTCTCCTTCACTCTGCAAATCTGCCTTTCCAATAAAAATAAATGAATCTTTAAAAAGAGAGAGCATGCGAGTTTGGGTTAGACTAGGCCAAAGCCAGAGATCTGGAATTCCATCAGTGTTTCCTAGCTGGGAGGCAGGGGTCCAAGCCTTTGGGCCATTGGCTGTTTTTCCAGGTGTATTATCAGGGAGCTAGATTGGAGGTGGAACAACCAGGAATTGAACTGACACTGCTTGTGGAGTGCTGGCTCACAGTCAGGAGCTTAGCCACTGTACCATAAAGCTGTCCCCTTTAAAACATAAATCTTAACAACCATTGTACTCACAATCTGATCTTGACCTTATAAAAAAGAGAAGTCATCCAAAGCTTAACTAGGAGGAAGGATTTGTTTGGTTTCATTTTGCCTTTTTACTCGGTTAGATTCCCTCCATGTTTAGCAAAGCGTTCTTTCACTTTTCTGTGTTGTCCAGGCTGCCTGTATACCTGGAATGTATGCAATCTTCATTAACTTTGAGAAATAATGGTGCCACCCTACCTTGCTAACCATCCATCTATACATACTCAGGGCCTTACTTAATTTTCTCAATTCCCCACCCACGTTTGGCAAGTGTTTCGGGAAAGTCCCAGGGACGTTCTGTGGAGACTAGGTAGCAATGGGTGCGGTCTTGATCAGGCCTTAGAATGCTAAATCCACTCTGGTATTTCTCTCCAACTGCTCTGCAGCCCACATGGTGCTTCCAGCAAACCACTGTCCCACAGCTGTCTACTCTGCCACTTCCTGAGCTCTTGGCACGCTCACAGTGTTCTGAAGAGACAGCATCTAGCTGGTAAATGAGACGTGAACTGGGTCCTGTACACTACTGTGGCCCAAGCAGTTACAGAGGCTGAGAGCCTGCTTGCTTGGTTTGACTTAACTAAACCACTTGTGCCAGCAACACTAGCGCAAGGTTCAAGGAAAGCTGGCTCTTCCTGCAAACACCCTTGGGACTTTGGAACTGCTTCATACACTGCCTCCTTTGTTGACTGATTAAGGTCCTTCATTCAATACGTTTTTCAGCCCCCAAGTTGGAGGCACAACTAGATGTACACAGCAGAGAGCTCTCTGTATACATGTGCTCTCTTGGTCAAGGAAGAGTAGTCTGGCTCCATTGCTGCTCATACCTTGGATGGCCTCAGCCTTTACTCTTGGCTGCACCTAGTAGGAGAGGTTCTTTTCTTATAGTTGAAAACAGAAAAACAGAAAATAAAGAAACAGCTTGTTTAAAAGAAAAATGAATGTTCCATACCAGAGAGTGTGGAAGGAATTTGTTAACTCAGGTTTGCAACTTTCTACTTTGGTCACCTGGATCACAAAATCAAAGAGTTACAAGTCTGGGGGCAGAAGCATGTGATGTGGGCTGGTACCTTTCCTACAAATTGACTGTTTTCATTTAAAATGAACTTTTTAGGAAAGAGCAGATATCATGAAATCTTATCCATCTCCATGCCTTGCAATACCCTAAGTTCAAAGAAGACAAAATGACATTGTCCTGTTTGTTTCCTCAGATAAGTTAACTCAGCAGATTTTCACAAGGAACATGATATCTCTTAAATCCTGGTGGTTACAAATATCAAACTAAATGTGAAAGAAGGAAAAAAATTCTGGTGTCATGTAATCTTAGTTTGGTTTAATCAACTGTCAGCTTGACAACAGTATTCTGGGTAGATTGGAGGGTGTGTGTGTGTGTGTGTGTGTGTGTGTGTGTGTCTGTGTGTGTATAGCAACCAAGGACTCACTCTGACAGGTAATGGCTTTGTTGACAATGTTCTGGCTCTTGTAAATGTTTATTTTTTTCTTCCCCTTTCTTTGTATTGTTATGCCTGTCTCTTGCTATAAATATTTATTCATAATCAGAAGGAGGAAGCAAACTTTTAAATGTGTTTAAAATCTACACAGACAAGTCCTTGGCTAGCAGCACATTTAATGAGGCACTGAACAGTTGCTAGGGATACCACGATCTAGATGCTGCCATGCTAAAAGGAAGAAATCACCTATTCAAGCCAGTCAAAGAAGCAGAATATTACCCATACCCGGTTATGGGACTTGGCTAATTTTTATTTAGGTTCCAGACTTTTAAGTTGAGTCTACTGCTCTCCTTATGGGTTTCTAGGTTGAAAGTGAGATGGAGGCACCTCGGATGTCATTACATCAGACTGGCAGAGGGGCAAGGAACTTGTCATGGGACATGTTACTATTTAGTGAGGGAGCAGAGAAGGACTCATAACCCAGAAGGCTTGAGTCACACCATATCCACACACATATTCAAAACGCACTGGTCAAGCCTGGCAGCCAAAAACACTCCTGAATCTCTCCTCGGCTTCTGCTGTTTTTACTTCTAGGTGAACGAAACCAAACAGCATTTGTGCATAATAATGTGCTATTTTCTGTCTCAACCCAGATGCAGGACAAGTACTCCCAAAGTGGCATTGCTTGTTTCTTAAAGGAAGATGACAGCTCTTGGGACTCCATTGATGAGGAGAACATCAACAGCCCCTGCTGGCAGGTCAAGTGGCAACTGCGTCAGTTCGTTAGAAAGGTGAGTAACCTCATCAGGAACCTTCGAGGGTTGGAGGAGAAGGACTAACGGGGACCGCCATGTCTAGATTCATATTGCAGATGAGGAAACTGAGGCCCTGTGTTTGACTTCTCCCAAATTCGCAGAACTAGGAAAAGGTGGCACCAGACAGCCCAGGCTGACTCTGGTCCAGAGTTTGCTCCTCTGTACAGACTTTTACCCTGGTCTCACCAACTGGGCCAGAGACAAGGCAGTGTGCTTAAGGTTCCACAGTCAGAAAAGCAGTGTATGCAATGTCTGTCTTCATTCAAAAGAGGCCAAATAATGTTTTGTATTCTTCCCGCACTGTTTCTATTCCAAAATGTGTTTATTTTTATATGATGAAGAAAGAGGAAAGAAAGAGATACTTGGAGAAAAGACAGCATCTTACATAACTGTCAATAAATGACAAAGTACAAACATCGATCCCCTGATGGAAGCTGCTTAAACATGGTTCCTAACAGAAACATTAGATTAGCTGGCAATTGATTTTACTTTCAGCACAGTGACAGACCTGTATCCTTTTTGTAAGATTGTGTTTAATACTATTAGCCTTCTGCATTCCTGAAAAGATCAAGGAAGATACACACTCTGGTAGCCATGAAACACCAAACATACCACTATTGTTTTAAGAGCCTGGAGGTGAATTGTTTAAGAGATATTTGTAATTCCATTATTTTTGGTGCCCAGAATCTGGGTAGAAATCTGGAGACTTTGAAGGGGCTGGATGCTGGGGTCATGCGTGGAGAGAAGGGAATGTGGGGAAGGCTTGGGCCCATCACCTTCCTGTTCATCTTCCTCAGTGTACACAGAAGCAGGGAGAGGGCAGCAAAGGCGGGCCAGAAGGAAAAAGACATTTCTACTTGTTTCAGACACATTCATTGAACAGGCCATTTCCAATAAACATCCTATGCAAGTAGATGAGGAAATTGCAGTTTAGTTCAGTTAGAGCTGGTGTTTGCAACTGACATATTTGAATCTAGGCCATCTGACCTTGCTAATAACCACTAGTTCTGGCCCCACACTGAGGAAATGACTTTTTTCCTTCCTTGTGGCTTCTCCTTCCTGTCCCACAATGACAGAACAGAGAATAAGAAAGATAGACAAATGAGAGAGAGAAAAACCCTGGGTAACATAAGAGAGAGCAAACAAAAAAGAAATATATGTGATAGACACAGACAAGGAGAAACACACACACACACACATACGCACACACGCACAGAAAGAAACAGAGAGGCAAAGTTACAGAGGCTCTGGGGCCTGGCACAATGGCTCAGTGGGCTAACGCTCCCCCTGCAAGCACCAGTATCCCATATGGGTGCCAGTTCATGTCCCAGCTGTCCCACTTCCCATCCATGCTCCCTGTTTGTGGCCTGGGAAAGCAGAGAGGATGGCCCAAAGTCTTGGGACCCTGCACCTGCGTGGGAGACTCAGAAGAACCTCCTGCCTACTAGATTTGGATCAGCTCAGCTCTGACCATTGAGGCCATTTGGGGAGTAACCCAATAGATGGAAGATCTTTCTGCTTCCTGCTCGCTATAAATATGGCTTTCCAATAAAAATAAATAAATAGTTATTAGAATAATAATAATCATCATAATAGCAGCTCTGGTTTTGCCTTTTTGCGAACCAGTTGTTAGCAGTGGTTAGTACAGGGAAGGAGTTTTATGAGCTGCTCAGCAAAGCTAGGGGAACTTGGAAGGACCGTAACGTTGAGCGTGTCTCAGCCACATTCCACGATGTGACAGCATGACATGGTATTGCCAGGATAGGTCTACCTTCATTTAGTAGAGGAAGAATTATAGCATTCACCTGGGGATGTGGGTCTGTCTGGTTTTTTCGAGCCCACTTTCCTCCACACACACACCTGCCCACAGCAGGTGATATGCCATAGCCGCCTTACCCGTCAGCCACATAGACACTCTGGGAGCACTGGGCCAACTTGGCTGGGAAGATGGCCCCACCTTCCTGCTGCTTAAGGTGTGGCCTTTCAAGGACTTGATCAGGAAACACAACTTTCCCAGGCAGAGGACCATCCACTGGTCATCAGGTGGGGATCTTATCTCAATATCCCCGCCAGCTCCTATCCCACTCTGCTGGAACAACGTAAAGCTTTCTGGATCGATAGGTTACATAGAAATGTCTCATTGGATATCAGCAAAAAGACTCATAGGCATTCTTAGTTTCGATTCTTACAGAAATTAACAAGCTTTATTCAATACTATTTGCAGATGATTTTGAGAACCTATGAGGAAACTGTTGATCCGGTGGAAGGTAGTATGCTTTGTTATTGTTATTTACATTTTTTAATGTCAACCTCATAGCAAGGTGAATGGGGCTCTTCATTCTCCTTTGCCCTGCTGCCATCCACACACCCCAAGCTGACCTGCTGCTCTGTGTTACTCGCTACTGTCAAGTTTCTTTCTTCTCTGCTGTGGCAGCCGGGAAGCTCAGAACCAGATTTATGTCCCATTGTGTGTGGCCACGACTTTATTTCAACTTCAACTTCATCTTCTTTTTCCCATGGGAATTTTTCTCTCACTACAGTTTCTTCCTTTCTTTATCTTGATCCGATAATGTGCTATAAAGAAGGCATTTTACACTCTCTCAGCAGCATAACAGGAAACAAAGGATTCCAAGACTCCGAAAGTTGGCTTCAGACTATCTCCAGGCTCTAGGCCTCTTATGAAAGAGTCTCTTCTTATTCCACCATTCCCATAGTCCCCTACCTGCCCCCACCATCTTCCGTCTGTCTATCATCCACACTCCTCACCCTGTGGTCCCTACCCATGGCTGCCTTTCTTTCGTCTGTCTATCACACACAATCCTCACGCATGGCTACCTTCCTGTCATAAGTCATCTTCTCATGGCCTACATCCAATATTGGCACTGTTGGCTAGGTTAGTTTCCTCCGTCTGGGTTCTTTCATTCTCATTCTCTCCTTCCCCTTCATAACTCATCAACTAGTTTTCCCAGAGGCCCTTCCTTGCTATTCTGCTCTCTGCCATTTCCATCACATGTACTTTGCATGCATGTTTTAAATACCCATTCATCCTGGACAGTAACAATGAATACCAAATAGATGCAACAGAGTCTCGTTGACCATTCATTCTTCTTCAATTTCATCACCTGCTCTCAATTCTCTCTGCTACCCGTCTAAAGTGAGGCCTCCTGTTCTCAGTTCTAATCAATTGTAATAGTCTGGAAACTTGTCTGCCAGCCTCCAACCTTCTCACCTTCTATCAGATCTTACTTGGCCACAGGTTGGCTTAAAGCACAACACATGCTTTTCATTTCCTTGAACAAAAACTCTCAAGGGGAGGGTCTCCCCATGTCAGGTGGAGTTTCAATTTTAGCCTAACATATAGATCTTCTAGAGTCAAAACCAGAAACCTAATTTCTCAGAGCCTCTGTCTTAGGAATACTTTGTATATCCTGCTTGGGAATTCTGTGCTAGCACTTTGAGGATGCTTTTCTCTCTTCCCTATAGGCTCCTAGCCTTCCAGTCTTACCTTGTTTGGACATTTATCTTTGGACATCAGTTTGTGTGTCTGTGTGTGTGTGTGTGTGTGTGTGTGTGTGTGTGTGTGTGGTGTTGTTGTTGTTGCTATTGTGGTGGTGGTGGTGGTAGCTCTTTTTCCTTATCCCTAGAAGTGTGCCTAGAGCCGGGGCAATGGGACTTTGGTTGCTTGGAGCAAGTGAGTGGAAGGATCTCAGTACCGTCTCCTTTTTAAACTCTCCTGCCCTCAGCTCTCCCAAACTAGGAACATTTCCCCTCTATGAGCACCTGTGACTCCTTATTTCTAACTGATACATTTGTGCCTTCTAGTTCATATTTTCCATAAAAGATGGTCAGTTCCTTGAGGACTTAGTTAATTGAATCAGTGGTTAAACTTCGTGTCCCTATAGGCATGGTGTAGTACCATTGTCTGGCAATATTTATTTGATTAAAGAATTCAATTTACTTTAATAACCAATAAAAGCACACTGGGGAAATTCAAGCTGAATTTTTAAGGGAGTCATCTGTTGAGTTTTTGTTGTTGTTGTGTTTATGAATATAAATATTTGAAATTTTAAAATACCTTGGATGGTGGTCTATAAACGTTTTACTTACATGATCTAATTAATTAGCAATTTATGTGTTCCTGTAAGGAGTAGTATAATCAGCATGGTAATGTCTATTCTCTTTTGTTGGGGTTGAGAGGGATAGTTGCAGGCTGGCTGTTGAAACCAGTTTGTAGCATCAATGGACAATCACTGCCATTGCTGTGCCTGTCGGGTCAGTAGTTGTTATCAAAGTGAAAAAGATAACTGAAATAGCAAACATTGGTACTGCTCTGGTTGTTTCTATACATAACTCAAAGTCAGAATTTACCCATGCCTGGTTTCTGATGCACTGTAATCCACACAGCAAGATCATTCCATAGTTACTGGATTTTTTGTCTTTTTATTTTCAAGGCATCATGATCTTTATTTTGTTGTATTCTATTTGGACCTTATCTCTGAGATGCTGATCAATTTTGATCCACCTTACTGCTTCTTCTTCTCATTTGAAATATTTTTCAGAACAAACCCAAATTGAAGCAGACCATTAAATGTAGGGTGCTCGCAGTGCCTAAAGGACAATGGCTGTGACTAGTAACGTGTTTGAGAACTGGATTGGTGAACTGATGATGTTTCATCACTTCTGTTTCAGCAAAGCCACAAACTATGTCAGAAAAGGATCAAGCTGTCCCTTCCCTAGTAAGGGCAAGTGGCACTCAGAGAGTAGCAGCACATATAACTGGGACCAGCCGGAGAGGCCGGATCACAGTCCCCACTCCAGGTAAGAGAAGCAGCACCTGGCAGAAGGGCAATGGGAGAATTGCTTCAAATGATTTCTCTTTTTAACATTTACTTGCAAAGTTCCTCCGCCTACAAAGTTACATGCAAAACGCTTAGTAACAATCAAATCTTTGACTGACTACTTTCAAAAGTTAGCTTACAGACAAATAGCCCAATTACTGCCATGGCAAACTATGAAGTGAGAAAGTTTTATCTTTGAAGTTCCCCAGCTACCATTTTTGCTTCCTGCTCTCTTGTAGTGATTTCTTGTATAACTTTGCACTTCCCCTCTCTTTTCACCTGTCATCCTTCACTCTGAACACTTTCAATCATGTACTTCTGCACGATCAATTCCCAGGAACACGTAGCTGCATTTATATTAGTTGAGCCGTGGGGAAGCGCCAGTGTTTGACCACTCTTCACTTAGGGAAATGTCAGTTTGCTATAGCTTAAATATGATCAGTTTAATTCTTGCCTGTGGAAAAGCTTTCAATATAGTGCTGTGACACTGTGCGTGGGTCTTACATTACAAATACTTGTGATGGAATTCCAGTTCCTCCTCACCAGTAGAAAATTGCCCTCCTTAAAATTTGTTCCCAAATTCACATAATATGCAATCAGCCATGCTAAAGAGCCCAACTGGTGCAACGATTGCATTCACAGTGTACGAATACCAAGACTGTCTCCATCCAGAAGGTTTTTGACACATACTCTTTCAGTTAATAAAGAAACAAAGTTACTGGATGAAACTTATTATTTCCTCACGTTTGACTGTGTTCTCATTTTGCTGCTTTAAGAGCTGCATGGCCCTGAATACATTCTCTTCCTGTTTGTTCTTTAAGGTCACTCTTCGGATGCCTTCTTCCATCCCTTTACACTTCCGGTCTTGCATTCCCATCAAATCTATGTTTGTTTCAAGTAAATCATTTATGCGGGTGAAGCTTATATTTCTTTATGTTCGAAGTACAGTTAATCCATAAGTCATAAAATAGTGAAGATTAACTAACACGTGCAAATGTCTAGTCCATTGGAAGTCTTCAATATTTGCCTTTATTAAAATGAAGTTTTGTCCCAAATTAGAGAAGCTCTGGACATCAGCTTAATACGTGAAAAGGTTGTTTTGGTGCTTTTGTTTTTGTCTGTGTTTTCCTTTTTTTTTTTTTCTGAGCAGTTTCCTTCCTGGTATTTCTGCATTCCCATTTTAAAAATGATTAACATGCTTTGTTTACAAGTGAGGTCATTAGTATGTTATCCTTTCACTTTGCTATTTATTAACAAATCTGATAGAGTTTTAAGCACTTAAAAAGCTCAGTTTTATACCAATCATGAAGATAAACCCCAAGTTTTAAAGAAACAACACATTTATTAAATTTTTTGCGGAGTGCTTTCATTCAAAAAGCTCAGAGTTAACAATTTGGGGATCTGTGGAGCTTTAAAGTTTGACTCCCTTGCCAAACTTGGTGCCTCCTATTTTGGACTTGAGATGCCCTCTGCTTGGATGGCACCTTGGCCCTGTAGAGCTGAAGAAGTTCAAGGAAGAACTAAAACAGTCTCATATGAAGAAGTTCTAAGCTCTAGGCTTTAAGAAATAGATGACATTTCTTTCAGTTTCTTTCTAAATCGTGATTTTGAGTTTGCTCACGTAAAAGAAAAGAAGGAATTCAGATGCTTACTTCCATCCAAAAGTAAAAATTGCCATTTAAATAACCTGTCCCCTGTGCCATGCCACTCACAGCTGAGTGTGACAGGTGTGTCCTAAGTAGCAGGTAAGATATACAAGGCTCCCTGTGAAGTCACAGAAATGTAGTGCTGGTCTCTCGATGACAAGAAGTTTTAACCCATGTGAGACTGAATAAATAAGAAGTGTGATAATATATCTAAAAATCTCTAAAGTCTCAATAAAAGTATGGACTGGCCACAGCTGCTGGAACACTCCGTGTGTTGGCATAACTTGCTTCTATTAACATTCTCTCTAATCTTCGTTCAGGCTCCAAGGACGGAATGACTTTGGGCCAGAAAATAAACTCCTGGGAGACATCAAGAAGAGGACATTCATTTCTGCACAATTTTCACATGAGGAATGGAGAGCTGGTTATCCATCAATCGGGATTTTATTACATCTATTCCCAGACATATTTTCGATTTCAGGAACTTGAAAAAATTTCAGGAACAGTTTCAAAAGAAGAGATCAAAACCAAAAACAAACAAATGGTACAATACATTTACAAATGGACAAACTACCCTGACCCTATCCTGCTGATGAAAAGTGCTAGAAATAGTTGCTGGTCTAAAGATTCAGAATATGGACTCTATTCCATCTATCAAGGAGGAATATTTGAGCTTAAGGAAAATGATAGAATTTTTGTCTCTGTGACACATGAGCATCTGATTGACATGAACCAAGAATCCAGTTTTTTCGGGGCCTTTTTGATTGGCTAGATGGTTTGCAAAGAAAAAAAAATCCACCTTCTCCTATGTTTCTTCAGGATGATACACTATGAAAATATTTGCAACCAAGGTGACATCGAATGGCCACCAAAGTAGAGCGAGCCTCAGTCTCTGCAACACATGCAGTTGAGTATCTCTGAAAAGACTCCTTATTCTAAACTCCTCCCAAGACTCTATCTAATGCCATTTTACTAGCAGAACTTTAGAGGAGTTTTAGCTTCCAAACACCTATGCAACAATGGAAGGGTGTGCCGTCGTTATCTTCTCGTTGAGAAGGATGCAGAGGACAAGAGGAGCAACTCATTCCTTCCGCAGGAAACAGCATGGTAGCTGCCAGCTTGTGTTAACATTCCCAAGTGGAATCACAAAGTAATTGCAATCACAAACGCAACGAGGCAGCTGATGGAAACAAGTTCCATTCAAAGTACAATAATTTTATACAAAAAAATGTTTAAAATTTAAAAAAAAAAATTCATCGGTGAGCAGGAACTGGTTCTGAATGACGTTTTGTGCGTTTTCACTGCTGAAAAGCAGGCTGGGCCAATGCACTGATAAAGGACCCTGTAGCAAGTGGTACGTTGCTCACAAACAAGGCAGTGTGGTCCCATGTGAGCAGGAGAGGAAATGGGAAAGCAGAGATTGCAAACACAAGCAAATGGGCAGAAAGAGACCCAAATAAAGTCCTTCACTGCCCGTAGCCCCTTCCAAGCGATACAGGTTCACACCTGCCTAGTCCTGCATCACTGATTTTGACCCTGGATGAAGAACCTTGATCACTGCTATCTCCCAAAATCATAACACAACATATTCTACCACTTAATCTAACTACTTGGGAGGAAAATGACTCAGAGCATGTGTCTAATCCCTAATTACTCTTTTTTATTTTTTATTTTTGCAGTGAGCAACGCAAGATTTATATAAGCCAGAAACCGGCTGCCACAGCAGTCAGGAGGACTCCAAAACAGGCAGGCCCCTCTAATTGCTATTTCTAAATAACTTTCTAAATAGCATAAGTTACACTTTTTCATGATACGTCCAAGCATTCACTTAAATGGAATATGATTAGCTAGGTCTTCAAAAGTGCTCACTAGAATTTAAATGTACAACACGCTAAACACAGCTGACACTCTGAACACCCTTACTTTAATGTTTCCATGGCTCCAATCAAATGATTTCATCCTAACAAATCTAAGTATTTGTGACACTCTTTTTGAAATCTTCTCACTAGAATCTAAGCATTGTGATGAGAGGGAATGTTTAGTCTTGCTTCCAGCTGTTCCCCATTACCCAAAACGTAGTACCCACACACAAAACACATTTGAGAAAAAAAAAGGGTGTCTGAATGAGTATGCAACCACACAGACAATACAGAGAAGGACCATTCTATTACCCCCTATACCAAAGGGAGATTGGAAAACAATAGAATATTTTCAATAGACAAGATCTAAGCAATAGAAATATTCTGGTAGGGGATAGAATTTTACTGAAGATTTAAAACGCAGAGGAAAAAAAATTAAAAGTTTTGATAACATTGGACTTGGAGAATAAAATTAATTTTTGCTTTACATTTTTTAAAAACGTTTTTAAAGATTTTTTTTTTGAAAGTCAGGTATACAGAGAGGAGGAGAGATAGAGAGGAAGATTTTCCATCTGCTGATTCACTCCCCAAGTAGCTGCAACAGCTGAAGCTGAGCCAAACCAAAGCCAGGAGTTTCTTCCAGGTCTCCCACGTGGGTGTAGGGTTCAAAGGCTTTTTGCCATCCTTGATTGCTTTCCAGGCCACAAGCACAGAGCTGGATGGGAAGTGGGGCTGCTGGGATGAGAACCAGCACTCATATGGGATCCTGGAGCATGCAAGGTGAGGTCTTTAGCCACTAGGCTACCGCGCCTGACTCTGCTTTATATTTTTATACTGAAAGTGTACAGTACATTTTTCAATAAAATGAAATAATGCTGAAGTATGTTGGTTTTGGTTTTTCGTGTGCTCACATTTATTTTATGATGCCAAGATTATGATAAACCTCTGTGTGGTGTTATCTTTCATCTGACACATCTTAAAAATGAAATGAAATGCTCACTTTTTACTTAGTGTGCTTAATGGAGCACCCACATAGTTCGTGGCTGCTCCTTTCATGACAGTGCATTGTTGAAGTCCTGTTCCCCGAGGACTTCGGAACAGAAGTTTATGTGGAAACATGGTTGTGGCAAATGTAGTTAGGATGAAATCAAAGTGGAATAGGTAGGCCCTTACTACAACATGTTTGCTGTCCTTGTAAGAGGGAAATTTAGAGGTAGAGATACGCAGGAAGGAACCAAGTAGCCCCAGTCCCGGAAATCAGCGTGCTGCAGCCCCTAGTGAGGCTCCGCCCAGACTCCTTGGCCAGTACCAGAAGCTCAGAAGAGATCAGCCAGAGATGAGCAGGAAGCCCTGGGGAAGGGACAACAGTTAATAGAGCTATTCTTTTTTGTTGTTGTTGTTTTTAATTTATTTTATCTTTATTGGAAAGGCGGATATACAAAGAGGAGAGACAGAGAGAAAGATCTTCCATCCGATGATTCACTCCCCAAGTGAGCGCAACAGGCAGATGCTATGCCGATCCGAAGCCAGGAGCCTCTTCCGGGTCTCCCACGCGGGTGCAGGGTCCCAAAGCTTTGGGCCGTGCTCGACTGCTTTCCCAGGCCACAGGCAGGGAGCTGGATGGGAAGCAGGGCTGCCGGGATTAGAACCGATGCCCATATGGGATCCTGGGCGTGCAAGGCAAGGACCTTAACCACTGCACCATTACGCCGTGCTGGGCCCAATAGAGATATTCTAAAGTAGCTGCTGCAGGGGAGTCTTTCCAGCCAGTAATTACACACCCATCACACAGGTTTGCTTTCCTCAAAACTGATGTTGTTGTTAGTGTCATTCAACTAATTCAATTTGTATGTTCCGTGAGATAAGAACATAACATTATCTTTTCACCACATTAATAGCCAGCTGTCCATCAGTTTGTTTTGGAGAAGCCACGCTTTTCCCCACTGATTTTTATTTCGTTTCATTTATATACCTGGTACCCATGGGTCTGTTTCTGTCATCATTTTATTTTTCCTATTGATCCACCTGTCCATGGTAGCATTCACAACATCCTTTAAAAAAAAAAAAAAAAACCAACTGGCAAAATGCATTAAGTGCAACCTTGAGAGTTTTAGTCCTTTTCCAGTGTGCAGCGTGGTGACCCTTAAGATATCATTGTCACCAACTCTCACCACTCTGGCTGCTATCCATCCCCAGGATATACCTGTCATCCCAAACGAAACTGCTGACTGCGTTAAACAACAGGACCCCATCGCCCCTCGCTCAGCTCCCGGTAATCACCATTCCTAATTTCTCTGATTCTGTCTTGGTGTTTCATGTAAGTACAATTATGTGGTAGCTGTGCCTTTGCATCTCACTTACCTACCTTAATAGAACATCTTCAGGATTCATCCATATTGCATTTTCAATGTTTCATGAAGCTCTATTTCATGGACTTGCTTCTCTCTGGTTTTAAGTACTATTGTTTTGCTACAAGACTTTTTAAAGTTTTATTTATTTACTTGAAAGAGTCAATCTCACAGAGAGAGAAAGAGAGAGAGAGAGAGAGAGAGAGAGAGAGATCAAGATCCTCCACCCACTGTCAGAATGTCTGCAGCGCCCAGGGCTGAGCCAGACCGATTCCAGGAGCCTGGAACTCTCATCAGGTCTCCCATGTGCACGACAGGGTCCAAAGTAAGTAAGCCGTTGCCTTTTGCTTCCTAGGCACAATCGCAGGAAGTTGCTGTGGAAGCGATTTGGCTTCAGGGTGTTTCCTGAAATGGCTAATCCTGCCTTTCCACAGGACCTGCCCTTGTCCCAGCTGCCATTTCCTGCACTTGGTTCTGTGAGGGATACATTCATCTTCCTTAGCCCTGTGCTTCTCAAGAATCTGAGCTTTTCTTATGTCTTGGTTTTTCTCCTTGAATTTAGAAACTTCTTGGACTCTGCATGTACATACATACACACCTGCATGATCTTGAGAGATTGATGGAACTGCTCTGAATTGGTGAATTAACCTGGGGGCAGTTTTTGTATTTCAACTTCTTACGTATTAAGACCCTCTGACATTCTCTTCAACAGGACTGTATTTATTTTGCTATTTTTGCTCTTGTCAGTGGGATTGATGTCTTTTAATTCCATCCTAAAGAAAACAGGCATTCACATTGTCAGGCGGCGATGACGTCACACGGTCCTTGGGAGCGCTGTGTGGATCTGCTCCATCGCTTGGTCCTCAGTGTCAGACTCTGTAAGATGGGCTAGTTGCCATGGCGCTCCCACAGCATTCGAGTGATGACCGACAGATGACGTCACACGGTCCTTGGGAGCGCTGTGTGGATCTGCTCCATCGCTTGGTCCTCAGTGTCAGACTCTGTAAGATGGGCTACTTGCCATGGCGCTCCCACAGGATTCAAGTTCACACCTGAAGTTCTCAGCACAGAACCCAGTGGGTGGGTACCACTGCTTTGTACTCAGAAACTCTCTTGCTACACTCCCACCCAAACCCTTTTTAAAATAAAATAAAACATTTCTAGTAAAAGAAAATAAAGGATGGAACATAAAAACCAGAAGGATTATAATTTTAAACTGACATTTTAAACAATGATATATAATTGTAAAATGATTTACATTGTAACGATGACCTATATAAGTTTAAACTGATTATAATTTTTTAAAGATTTATTTATTTTATTGCAAATTCAGATAGAGAGGAGGAGAGACAGAAAGGAAGATCTGCTGTCCGATGATTCACTCCCCACCTGACCACAATGGCCAGTGCTGTGCCAATCCAAAGCCAGGAGCCTGGAGCTTCTTCCAGGTCTCCCACACGCGGGTGCAGGGTCCCAAAGCTTTGGGCAGTCCTCGAATGCTTTCCCAGGCCACAAGCAGGGAGCTGGATGGGAAGTGGAGCTACCGGATTAGAACCAATGCCCATATGGGATCCTGGCGCGTTCAAGCGAAGACCCCAGCTGCTAGGCCGCTGATTATAATCTTAAACTGATATTTTTAACAATGACATATAATTGCAAACTGACATCTGAAAATTGGCCTACTAACTGACCCAGCCATCCCACTTTTGAGAATATATCCAAAGGGAGTGAAATCTGCACAGGAAAATTGACCCGCAACCCTACATTTGTTGCAGCACAATCTACAACAGCAAAAACATGGACACACCCAGATGCCCATGGAAAGAGGAATGGATAAAAATCTGTGGTACGGGCCCGGCGCGGTGGCGCAAGTGGTTAAAGGTCCTCGCCTTGCACGCCCGGGATCCCATATGGGCGCCGGTTCTAATCCCGGCAGCCCTGCTTCCCTTCCAGCTCCCTGCCTGTGGCCCGGGAAAGTAGTCAGGACGGCCCAAAGCTTTGGGACCCTGCACGCACATGGGAGACCTGGAAGAGGCTCCTGGCTTCGGATCGGCATAGTATTGGCCCGTTGTGGCTCACTTGGGGAGTGAATCATGGGACGGAAGATCTTCCTCTCTGTCTCTCCTCTCTGTATATCCGCCTTTCCAATGAAAATAAAAATAAATCTTTAAAAAAAACATGTATATACACATATTCATCTAGAGGAATTGTATAATGGAGGCAAGTAAGTCATAAAGTGAAAACACATGGCAATATGCAGCTCTACTCCTGAATAAAAGGATTCTCAATGAAACTTAAAGACATCTTGAAACGTGGTACTGGCTTTTCTACCACTGCCTGTAGCTACGATGCCGTGATTCACCTGAAGAGCGGAATGTTGGACTTGTCACTGTTGCTTGAAGGACCAGGCTATTGTAATAACACGGGGGGAAAGACGGTGGGGGAGAAGAAGGAGGGAGGAAGGAATCTCCATCCCTACAGGATGCTATCATGGAAAATAATAATAACAGTAAGAAACACACAAAAAAGAAAATAAAGATATTTCTAATAAGAGAAAATAAAGGATGATGATGAAACCAGAAGGATTCTAATTTTAGTTGTAAACTCCATCCTAATTTTCTACTGCACTTAACCCACACGTTATAAAAATGGCATGGATGTTTTATTGTATGGTTTAATTAATTGTTATTTGGTCTAATTAATTATGACTAATATTTCACTGAATTCTTCCATGGATGTGACAATAGCCCCGCCTTTCCCCCCTTTATGATCGTTGTCATGAATCCTACATTTTGTGTTAGTAATGTCCTTATTTTTTAAGGAAAAAAAGAATATGTGTGTGTGTATTATATCTACATTTGAGGCGAATATGGAAAATGTTAAAAGTCTGTTAC